GAAATTTGTAGGAGGCTGGTCGATTATGTTTTGGGGAAGTAATATTGGTTGTGGTTCATAGGAGGCTAATGATGTTGAAGATGAAACCACATGAGAAATGTCTTTTACAGCGATCACCGTATGCCCAGCTTGCACGGCTCCGCAAGGTTCAGAAGCCCTCAGATTAAGCATTAGAGGGCCGTCGTTATCTGAATCTTCCGGGTAATTGCTGAGCATTAGTGAAGCAATACAAGGTATATTGTCTTTAATAAAGTTGTTTTTAGAGAATGTTTAATTGCGTGTTGCTAATAAATATAATTAAAAACTATTAAAGTTACTAAATAAACTTAAAAATATTTATTTTATTAAATTTTTTATTTAATAAAGTTAAAGCCCGGTGCTACGCACCGGGTTAAGACTAGTTTATAATATAATTCAGGCGCCCTTGGATATTTAATTCACAAGGAAAATCTGCTAGACTACTAAAAAGTGCTGTAAGAACTATTATTGTAATGTGGAATATGATCAAGCAGTTAATACATTACCAAGATGGACACAATTGCAGAGTAGATAAATGTGTTAACAATGTAGTTAATAAAATAAGTATAATGAAAATTAATCTGATTTTCAGACAAATTGTTTAAAATAATGCCTATAGAATCTAATTTTTAATATTGAATTTCGTGTAACTCTTGAATATTTTTTGTCCCAAAATTTTTAAGATACTGTGGATCTAAATTTGGCGTCAGCCACTGCTGCAATGCAATTACTAATTCCAAGGGAAAAAAATGTTCATAAAGTTTTTAATATTTATAATATTTATTTAATGTAGGCACTTATATAAAAATGAAAAAACTGTTCCGATACTGAATTAACATTTATGATAATGCCAAACTCAAATCTAGATACTGGAGTTTTGCGTTATATTAAACAACTGTCCATTAAGTAAGATTGTGCTAAACTTTAATTTTATGTTGAAACAAATATTCGTAATAAGGTTTATTTTCGTTAATTATATCATAAACATATTGAGGGTATTCAATTTCCTCATTATTATTTACTGCTTTGTCAAATCCCGTGCTTTGCATTGCGTTCCTATTTTATTTATGATACGTATATAGTTAATTAATATATACATGAATAAGAAAAATTAAGATGAAATAATAAACTTACTTATGCCACAAATAATTTAAATCTGGAACGTAATGTAGGCCGGACATATTTTTATCCCATATTTCCACTCTTTCTGCCTTCCATTCAAGCATTTCTTTCTTAAACTCTACATTGACCATCTCACAATATTTTCTTAAAATTTTCTCAGGTTCTCGAATTAAATCATCAGCGTCCACTATTGCAATCTCCTCTCTAGTTACGTTCTTAATTAAATCATAAAGATTCCTTGATTCTTTGAGCCCAATTTTGTCAGAGGAAAAAAGTTCAACTCTTTCAAAATTAGGCACGCCGGCTTTATCCCAAACTTGATATGTAGCATTTGCAGCTTTGTAATAAGATTTTACAGATTTTTCTGGATCTCTAATTAAGAATGTATGTTTAAATTTTGAAAGAATTTCTTTGGATCGCAATGGATTTCCTTCTGATGCGTGTAAAAAGATTGTTGCAAGATCTTTTACAAAAACTCTTAAAACATGCGTTTTATCTTCATTATAATAATGAGGAGCAAGAATTTCATTAAGAGTAGGTGAGAAATGATGCACGAAGGTGATCGGATCATTAGGTTTAGGTGATGGAATTCTATTCAAAAATTCAAAGTTTTTGGTCATGTAAGCGTGACCAATTGGAACAAATGGTTCATGAATAACATGGAATTCTTGAGGACGTTGAAGAAACGGTCTTTCAAAAACTGTAGAAAGAGACCTTGCGTGGGCCCAAAGAATAATGGGTCTTTGATCTGTCATTTTAAACGAAAAAAAAGGAGCAATGTACAATCTATTAGTAGGCTATTTATATTTATAGGTATTTGTTTAACCATATTTAGACTATGACGAATTTTTTCGATTATCGTTATTGCCTCAATACGCCAGCCCATCTTTAATATAATAATTGATTAAATCATTTGATATGGTAAGTACATATGTAGTACTTAACGTTAATTCTTGTCGTAGTGATTCTATTGTGTTCAGTACATAAGTTATTTAATACGTACGTATAGAACACAGGATTACTTGAGAATAACTGTACCTAAATTGCAACAATAGTGAATCTTGTTTCTTTTTTAGTCGATAATATTTACTATTGCATGTTGAGCAACAAAATTAAAAAGTTGCATAGAATTCATGATTCTAGGAAATTTATGAAATTTTAAAGTATAAGCATAAGGAACTTTAGTATAATTTTTTTTTTGATGGTAATATATTTTTTTCAGTTCAAATAAGATCCAAAGCATGTTCCAGGATAATAATTTTCGCCATTAGAAATTTCATTTTAAAAAATGTATACTAAATAAATATAATATTAGTTGATATACTTACGTCATTAGAAGTATGTAATGTTAAAAGAAATCGGAAATCAGAAATCGATTTTTTTTTGATATGGCAAATTTCATATAATTTTCAAGCCGCAATTATAGCGGTTTGCAAAAAGGTGTGACCTCTACAGATCATATTGCGCTTTGCAAAAAGATGTGACCTCTGCAGATCACAAAGTCGCTTGAAAATCGGAGAATTCTGCAGATTTTAAGAATCTTATCGATTTCAAATAAATATAAATATAACTGACCGAAAATATGAATTAATAGACAATCTTGAATCTCGGAAATTTTCCCCTTTCATCATCACAAAAATCATGGG